CCCTAATCCAAAGACACTATCTCCCCCCAAAGCCCATGCATTTTAACACTTCTAACAACACTTCCCAATCCACTCGACCATAGGCCTTTTCCAAATCCAATTTAATCAAGCTGCCTGGCTCCCCCTTAAGTTTCCTAGAGTGTATGCATTCATGTGCAATCAAGACCCCATCAGTAATAATACGACATTGAATAAAAGCTAATTGAGAGCCTAAAATAACTTTATTTAGGACTCTCTTTAATCTTTCAGCTATTAATTTTGCAATAATCTTATACATGTTAGTTAAAAGGCTAATTGGTCGAATATTAGACATTCCTAATATAGAGCCACTCTTCGAGATCAACGCACCATAGGTAGAATTAATCGATATGTTTAGCACTCCCATCTCAAGAAACTCATTAACTATCATCATTAAGTCCATCTTCACCACACTCCAAAAAGTTTGAAAAAATCTAAGAGGGAAACTATCTAGACCTAGAGCCTTATCACCAGACATTGCAAACATTGCAAACTTAACCTCATCTTTTGTAGCCCATCACTCCAGAGAGGCAGCCTCCTCCAACGTCAATCTTTGAAGATTCAATCCTTTCAATGAAGGATTTAGTGCCATGTCTTGAGTAAATAGTTGTTGAAAATGGTTTACAAATTTCATCTCCCACGCACTCCTATCACCATCCAAAACCCCTTCAAATTGAATAGCTGAAATATCATTTTGCCGTCTCCTAGAGTTCGCAATTGCATGAAAGTTTTTCGTGTTCAAATCTTCTTTTTTCAGCCACCTTACCCTTGATATTTGACGCCAATATATTTCTTATGTTCTCAAATTTCCATGAGGAGACCTAAGAAGCACAATTTTCTCTTCACGAAGGACACATGTCAAATTGCCTCCATTCTGAATCCGAGTTTCAATACTCTCCAGATCTAGCAAAGTTTGTGTATCCTATTTTCGATGTGAAAATTATTTTCTTTTTTCCATTGTATCAATTTATGTTTGATACTTATGAGCTTCTTATGCACCCTGTACCTATACCAACCCGCAATAATTAAATTTTGCCAAGTTTGTTTGATAATCTCCACAACATCTTTCTCTTCAAGCCAAATAAGGTCAAAACAAAAAAGCCGAGGACCAAGTTGAGAATTATCAGTATATAAGCACAACAAAACATGATCAAAGGACAGTTTGGTAAAAGCCACTACCCAAGCCAAAGGATAATGTTGCTCCCATTCATTAAAGACCAGTAATCTATCAATCTTACTTTGAATTATATTATCAGTGCTATTATTTGACTAGGTATAGTTTACTCTATTAATAGGTAGATCAAGCAATTGATGTCTCTTAATAAACTGATTAAATAGCTGCATAGATTGATTAAGAGAAGATACAATCGATATTTTTGAAGGCCATTTAATCATATTGAAATCGCCACCAATAACAACAGACAATTACGTTTCAAATATAATATTGGATAAAACATTAAAAAAATCTTCTTTGAAATCATTGGCATTTGGGCTACACACATTTAAGCACGTCAACTAAAACCATCCGCTAGATTTTTCAAAATCAACATTATCATCCTTTCAGTCAAAAGAGAATCCAAAAGTTGGAAACAAGTAGCCCACAAGAACCAAAGACCATCAGATGCACACACCAAAAATCCATACCTACAAAAGCCACTGGCCTTATACCCCAAATATGTCTAACAGATCTAACTGTCGTACTTGGCAGTTTAGTTTCCTGCAACATCAAAACTTTAGATTTTAGAGACCTGATAAGGAGCAGAACTTCACGTTTTCTTCTCGCCCCACCAAGCCCACGAACATTCCAATTATAGACCTTCATTAATATGTGAAGATGAACCTTTCTTGGGCACACCAGGAACATCTTCAGAGCTAGAAGAGGATGAGCTTGAATCAGGGATTGCAATCATCTCTTTACCACGCTCGTCAACAACTACACTCGACACTTTTAGTATAGGTTCACGCCTAGCCACCAACCTAAGTGAAAATCGAGTGGGGGTTGCTAAAGGACCCCTCTCAGAATTCTCACTTTTCCTGTTAGCCACCCTAGACTTCATTTACCTTGCCTTAGTTATCTCCTTGACCACCTCAAGCACCCTAGCCATAGGCACATTGAGGTCCATCTCGATATCCTCACAACATTGCAGCAATCTCCTTCGGCTTGTCCTCAACCACCCTAATACGAGCCTCAAGAGACTCATTGATCTCCCCCTCTTCAACCATCTCACCTTCCTCCATGTGATCATCTTGATCACCTAAAATCCCCTCATGCAACCCCTCCCCATTATCACCAAAGCTCACTTCATCTCCTATATCATTCTCAATTATCTTACCCACAACCACACCCTCATCCTTGGCAAGATCTAGAAACCCCCCAACTGGTTCATGAACCCCTACCTCCTCCAACTCAACAGTCACAATATTCAGGGCTAAGTTAACATGATTTTCAATCTTCTCATCTAACTCGCTACCTTCCACCTCGGAGGAGAAGGTGAAGGACTCAGTGGCCGCAATCACCTGCAGCGACTCAATGTCAGCCCCGATACCCCGATCCAACACCGCTATTGGAAGCCCTTGTTCTTTCAGCGGCAACCTCAACCCTCGAGACAATCTCTTATGGGCAGCCTTACGGAATGGCAGGTAACGATGCTTTATGATCCTCTGCCACACAACTGCAAGAGCCAAGGCAATGTCTTTATGGAGTCTAAACAAGAAAAGAAGTACAACCACCACTTCCTCAAGAGAGAAAGCAACACTCACAACTCTTCCTAACAGAGCTTTTGTAATTGAAGCCCCCACCTTTGCCAAAGTAAGGTCCCCCTTAAACCTATTGAGAAGTGCACCGCCATAACCCCATCCAACACCATTATCTAATGGATAACCGTTCATCTCTACCAAATAGGCATGGTTGATAGGGACAAACAAATCTCCTATGCAAATCTCATTACCCAAAGGCTGCCCTTGTACTTTTCCATAGTTACCCTCACAATTCGTACTCTTGTCTTTATCAATAAAAGCAACCTTTCTAATCACTTCCTTGAAACTCGTAGAGCCCACCTCCTTACTTTGAATACCCCCTCGTCAACCCTATTCAAATTTATAAAACCGTCACCCTTTATACCATGCTTAACTTTAGGAACCCAAATCTTTTTACCCTTTGTAACTGAGTTCGTATTTGAATTATCGTTAGGCCTACTCACACGTGGACGACCACTGTTCCTCTTAAGATTTGATACCATTGTTCTCTGCAACTCCACACTTTTCCCTTCTGTCGCTACAAACTTTCCTTTATCCACATTCCATCTTTTTCTTCTAATTGTCTGCCATTCTGATTCCATCTTTGAATGAGTAACATCTTCATTTATCCCAACATGCTCAGGAATAACATGTTTAAGATCATTCCTCAGCCATGGATGAATAGTTAATATCTTTACCCAATGGTGACAATGAGTTCCTCTTAATCCTCAACTAAGCATAAGACATATCTCCATTATTAAGACCCGTCTAATCCATATTACAAACTTACCATAGGTATTCCCAAGCTTTTGAAAAACATCGAAGTTCCAAGTATGCAAAGGGATACTAAACAATTTGATCCAGCAAAGATCTTTACGAACTAAAGAAGAATGAATCAAAGAGCTCCATACTCTAACAGTTAGAAGCTTACTTCGAACCTGGCGCATTGCTTTCCAAATATCCTCTGATGAAGCTAAAATGAAGATACATCAGTTGTCCTCAATTTTCCTCACGACATGTTCATAGGACAGGTTCCAAGCCCTTTTAGCTCAATTTTCTAAGCTAAATATGTCTTTAGATGGTGGTGAAAAAGACCCCACCGCCATCATGGAAGCTTTTTCTAAAAGTATCGGAAATCTCATTTTTCTCTAACATGATATGTAGATGATCCAAACGCTTATTGAATCTCCCATTATCTTCATCCTAATCTCCTCAACTCCTACAACTATGATCACCATCCTTGAAGCAAGGATAAGAAGTGTAGAAAAAATCCAATCTATGTTGTTTATCTTATTTAGAAAATATATTATCTCAAAGATATTTCAACTTTTTGATTGTATCTTAAAAAGAAAAGGTTTATGAAAGGTTGACACCCTAAAATGTAGAATTAAGATTTAGCTCTTAAATCCTTCGGAAAAAGTTGTTTTGATATTAGAAAAACATCTAATTGATCATCTTAGCATCGTGATATATAGACATAAAAAAATAAGATATTTGAAGTCTTAAAAATAGTACATCTTGCAACACATTATCTGGACCATCCATTTTCAAGATGTTCATAGTTTGTAGATCTCCTTAATTTGAACTATTTTTAAAATTATAAAATATTATAATTAGAGATAAAAATATATTATTTTGCTATCTTAAGAATTTTCAATACCAAAATTGCATCTCAAAATGTACCAAAATTGCATCTTATAACAATGTTTAGAGGTGCACCCTATTTTGATGGTTTAAAGTTACAATCTTAACACACCTATATTAAAAAGGACGAGGTTTCTGTCAACCTTATACTATTGAAGTAAGGAGTGCCTCAAAACTATGCCGAAAATGCAGATTCGGTGCCCCAAAGCTTTGCAATGATATGGAAATCTATTGTTTCTTCAATTTATGAAATTTAAAGTTCAAAAAATAGTGACGGTCAAGCTAATCTATAACCATTGAAAATCTTAAAAATCGATTGTCTAGATAATATGCTAGAAGATGAGCTATTTTTAGTATTAGAATCACTTTCTTTCATGTCTATGAATCTTGAGGTCGAGATGACCGATTTGAGGGTTTTCCAATATAAGACCGACCATCCCCGGTGAGATTTTGGATTCACCTTACACCTTATATAAACTTTTTCCTATTAAAAAAAAATGTCAAATCTTTAGTGTCCAAGTAACCAAACGGCACGAAATAATTCTACATTAAAAAGTAGCACTGCCATTTATAATTCTCTCTAACGTGCATTGAAACTTCTCCGCATTCGCCTCTCTATGTGACTCATAGGTGCCTTCGTGCCTTCGTTTATAATTCTCTCTCTAAAATCTCTTGAAACTTGTATGCATTTGCCCCTCTCTCTCTACAAGCAATCTGGTCTCTTTCTCTCTACAAACCTACCGCGCTGCGCTCTCTCCCTCTTCAAATTATGCATTCCTTTGCCGCTCTTTGCAAGCACTGCGTCTCCTCCACTTTCTCTCTCCTAATCCCTACAGTATCTCTCCCACTTTCTCTCTCCTAAACCCTACATTCTCTCTCTCTCTCTCTACAAATTAAAACCTTTCTGCACCTCTCTCCCTTTCTTTCTCTTCAAATCAACTGCACATCTCTGTCCCTCTCGTGCAACTTCAAATTCAGAGACTTCCATTTTTCTCTGTCTAAGATCATGAATCTCTGCAAGTTTTCTTTTGATTTCCCACTCTGTGCTCTGTAATGCTTGCGTTTAAGCCATGGAGCTCACAGATGAGCAGAGAAAGAGGGCTGAGGCCAATAGGCTTGCTGCTCTCGCCAAGAAAAGGCAGAGAGAAAACCCCAATTCATGGCAGCTTTTCAAGTGCCGAAAGGTTTCAAGAAGCTCATCCGAGAGTGAGAAAGCTGCAGAGAATGAAAATAAGATAACAGAGAAAGCATGCGAAGGTTTTAGGGTTAATATTGAGATTTGTTCATCTGATGGGTTCTCCATGGCTATTGAGCGAGTTCCCGGGTTCTTTTACTACAGAGAAACGGAGTTTCAGCAGAGGGTTGAGCCTTGTCTTTCTTCGGTGAGTTTCTCTCCTTGAATTTTGTTTTGTTTGGTGATTCTCTCTCTGTACATTTCCTTATTTATTTACTCTTTCTGGGGTATCTGGGGTTTTTTTCATTAATTTTTTTTCTTATTTTTGGAGTATCTTTTCGTCCCTCTGTGGGTAATTTAAATTCTTGGAGTTGTGAACCAGGTTTCAAAATTTTGGGTCCCCCATAAATATGGCTTTCGAACCTGTAAAATTCAAATTTTAATAAGAGAAATGGAAAGTTGCCAGTTAATTGGACTTCTGGGTGCTGATATTATTTTTTGTTGGGCCCTCCTATTATAGTCTACGTTACATGTAACTCTTTGATTTGATATTATTTATCACGATTTTTTTTTATTTTGGTTTGGCTTGTTATTATTTTACATGGCTGTTGTTTGCAATCTGAGCAAATGTATAATCTATATAAGTGTCATTTATTAACTTCTGAGTAGGAGGTTAGTTTCTGCTTTCAATTTTTTATGGACTTGAATTTTCTTTCTCTAGTTTCATCTCTTTGATGAGTTGTAGAAGTTCTCCATTTGTGGTCTTCATTTTTTGCTAGGTTGTTCCTCTTCGCTATGTTGAAGTCGGGGGTCGTGGAAAGGTACCTGTTTATAAGCTCAAGGACTATGATTTGGTGGTGAGATGCCTAAAGAAAATCCCAAGAATTCAATTGCAAGAGATACCTTGGAGAACACTTGCAGTAGTTCAAAAATTATCTTATTCCTCTATTGGAGGCAAGTGGATTCCATGCATGCCAAATCATGTGTCAGACGATGAAGTAGATGCATTGCTAGGAAAGTTGCCGAGAAAGTTACGAGATTTGCTTCTACCATTTCAATTAGATGGTGTTAAATTTGGTTTACGAAGAGGTGGGCGCTGTCTCATTGCTGATGAAATGGGGCTTGGGAAAACCATTCAGGTATATGCTTGTTCTTTTTATTATGGCATTCCTTGTTCAATTTTTTTTTGTCATGCATTTGGTAGTGTATGCAGCTCTTCTCTTTCTTTAGCATGTTTATTTGTGATATCTCAAACTTAATACTGATTATTTCTGGAAGTACAAGGGCATTGTTTTGATATATCTTTCTTCATACTACCCATTTCTTTTTTTTGCCAGCTCTTTTTCTTGCTTGTTTTTGTCCTCTTTTGATCTCTCACTTTCTTTTCATTTGTCTCTCCCCCTCACTCTTTCTTTTTCTTTAGGCATGCAACCTTTTATTTTTCTTCTTGCAGTGAGTTAGTATCAACATTGGTGGCCTTTTCGAAAATTGAGTTGTTCACTTTTACAATTTCATTTCAATGTTTTCTCTTTGCAGGCAATAGCCATTGCATGTTGTTTTATGAGTGAAGGTCCTGTTCTTGTTGTATGCCCAGCCATTTTGCGGTATTCTTGGGCAGAAGAACTGGAGCGCTGGCTTCCATTTTGTTTACCAGCAGATATTCATCTCGGTAAGTATTTGTCAATATCAAGTTAGACATACTATAAAACATGTGCTGTTAGTTTTAGTACTGATACCGGTTTATTGTATTATATCCCTCTAGCAAACTCCTCTACTCTAAAGTGTTTGTTTGAATCTGATACTGAAGACAACATATTTTGTGCTTTGTTGTGTCTCATGTGCTTGTCTAGGTGGAACTAGACTCAATGGGTCTAAAGTTCTCCTTCTATCAGGGTCCAAGAATTTGGTACAGGAAAATATTAGGAAAGTGATCGAGCGTATCTATTTTATTTAAATTTTTCCAAGGTCTTCATGTATGAAGACTCAAAGATCTTCTACAGTTTGTAGAAGTTATGATGGAAGATTCTTGAGTTTCACTATATGAGAACTTTCTTTGAGTGGCAAGAAAATTCCAGCACTAGAATAGTAGAATCCAACCTCAGATGAGCTAGTCTGTCTTTTGCAAAGAATGGGGACTAATCATCTCCGAGGTGAAGTTAAATCATTTGACAAAATGGTACTCGGGGCAATTTTAGCTTGCTTGTACTGAGATGCATGCAATTTAGTTATGAGGAGAACTTCACTCTTTGCGGAATGATGTTAAGGGGAAGTATACCATAGACACCTGCATATGGTATATGCACAAGTAATCATCAGCTTGAGCATCCACTATCTAATGGTGGAGTTGAACCATAGTTGTTATGATGGAAAACACCGGACGTTCTACGATATGACACTTTGACTGCACTGTCTGTCCTTGTGGATGTATGGTGGCCCAGCTGTGGATGGTAATCATTCACAGCATGCGTTTTTACTTTCCATGAAGCAAATGCATGCTTATATATAAAACATGAAGGATTCAAGATTTAGCCATTAGGTTGGATGTTGAAATTCACGTTATTGATATAAGGAAGTACTCATGCAATTTTATGAGTACAGTTGGCTGTAACGTGCTTCTATTCAGTTATCCTTTCAAATTTTTCTATTGGCTTTTTATATTTCCGAGGATTAACATAAAGATTTTAGAATACCAGCTGCCAAGTCAACCAAATGTATTCACAAACCATTACTGGTAGAATGTGTATTATAGTTGTAGCTTGAAACCTAAGAGTGTATGGGAATAAATGAAAAAGTATCATTTGCGCACAATGTTAAGCAGCTATTTCGTGTGCATGAGTTCTTGTACACATGTACACACACAAATATACAAAATTGTGTAAATGGTATCCTATTATATTGACGTTGTGATGAATTTATCTACTGAAACAAAATGCGGTGATTGCTTGACCATTTATTAGGAAACTGTATTTTGAGTTTTTGGTTCTTCTGCACTTCGTGGATTTCTAAACCTTTTAATTTTTGTTGGAAGCGACTAATCATGATGTCCTTAATCGTTTTGATGCCGTTGAATTCCAAATTATACTCTTAATGAGATCCATGTCCTGGATCCTATAGGTATAAACATGATTGTCTTCTCTTTTGTGTATGATCACCAACTATATTTGTCTATTCTTTTCCTTATTCATCATATTTCAACTTATTTTTTTGCAGTTTTTGGCCATCAAAATAATCTTGGGAACTTGACAAGATGCCCCAAAGTAGTTGTTATCTCCTACACAATGCTTCATCGTTTGCGAAAGAGTATGCTAGAGCAACAATGGGCAGTTATGATTGTGGATGAGTCTCACAATGTCCGATGTACTAAGAAAATGATAGAGTCCCAAGAGGTACATGCCATGCCTATGGTTTGATAGTATGGATTTTGCACAAACTCCTCGTTTAGAAGGCTTGGTGGTCTATGATGTGCTTAAAAAAGTCAATTGCCATAAATTTCATATGATAAATATTAGCTTTCAAAGTTTTCCTTCCCTTTTTTTTTTTTTGTTTTTGTTCTTTTTTTGTTTTTGGTGGTGCAACTGGGGGGGACCGTAAGGGCTTGTAATCTTAAGTCTGTTTCTTCCAATGCTTTAGAAAACTTCAAGTATTCTTGAAAAATAGAGGGGTTCCTCTAATGTTGTGCGAAAGTGATACATTAAGCTCCATAATCACTTTGTAACGATGGTTTTGATTCCCTCTTCATTACTAGATCCAATATTTTTGGGATCCAACAATTTTTTTGAGAAAGTTAACTTGATTGTATTGCTATAATAAATTACATAAAGATTGCTTCCTGGGGAGGAAGCTTAGAACACCAAAGGCCTTGTAATTACAGATGGCTATGAAACAGAATCAAAGCAAGAAGAGGTGTCCTAGCGAGGTCGAGGGGGAATTAAAAGAATACACTCAAACAGTGTCATTGAGTGCCCCTTCTTTGGCTAGAGAGTTGGCCTCTTAGTTCCTCTCTCTCCACACGTGGTTCCATGAGATTTGAAGGGCTCTGGATAAGTTTGAGATCTCGTTGAAAATTTGGAGCAAGCACCAGGGGCATTCAGCTATGCCTGATGCCCAGGAGGTAACATTACGGGAGTCGCCTTAGACAATCAAAGTTTGGCCCCAGTTATTATCGAAAAGTTTGAGACCTTCTAGTACAGCTAGAGCCTCTGCTGGTTGAACGTCTTGATGGCTAGCGTGCTTGGAAAAAGAGGCTACGGTGTCCCCTTCGTGGTTGCGGAAAAGGCCTCCTATTCCCGCTGGCCCCGGGTTACCAATCAACAATTAAGTGGGCGATTCTGCTCTAGGATCCCAATCTTGCGTTCCGGGGAAAGGGGATCTCGCTCCTCCGCCATTCTTAAAATTTGGAAACTCGATCCTTCATATTAAGGATTATTGATGTTGAAGGGCAAAATTATTCTTATTTTTTATTTTTATTCAATTTTAAAAGATGTATATTATTGTCTTGGTTTTAGTGTTTATTTCTAGGATCTTTTAGTTTTTAAGGGATTCTAGGGTTTTTATTTTTTTTGTTTACTTGATGAGTACTATTCACAATTACTGTTCATAGGGGTAAAACTATCATAATGAATTTTAAGTTGAGTTAGGATATACGGGTCAATGTATTATTTGTTTGGACATTTTTTGTACTTGAAACATTAAATTATAATATATACGTGGTGTGTACGGCCTTGAGGGGTCATTCCACATGATTTTTAGAAATTGAAAGAGAGAAAAGCTTAAGGTTTTGGAACCCTAGCTTGGAGTATGGAGAAGAAACCATGGGTTTTTTCGATTTGTGCTTGTGTTTAGCTTTGTTTCTTGTTGATTTTTATGTTCTTCTCACATTGGTATCAGAGCCTGCGATCTACACGGAACGTACTATAGCATTGTATGAAAGTTATTGTAGCAAGTTTCTATAACAAGGTACTTTAGTGTCGATTTTGTACCTTAGATCAACAACAAAACCTAGATCTTGTGCATTTAAACGAGTTTTTGTTCATTATCTGTCTAGGGTTTGTGATTTGAGCGATCCAATCAAGGCAAGTAGGTGTCGTGCAAGGGGGTTTTCATAGATCTGCTCCATGATCTCAGATATGAGAGAATTGAAGAACTTGAAAGTCAAGTTCAGCAGCTGACACAACAATTCGCTTGCCTCAATAATAGGCAATACGGTGATCTTTCAGCCCAAGAGGATTTCAAGTATAAGCCTTTTCACTTTCGCGCTCTACGTGTGGATTCAAGTGTTGAGGATGGTGATAGAAGACCTAGATGTTGGGAACATAACTCTACAATTTTTGGTTTGGAGGATGAGATTCTTGTCTTTGACAAAGATTGCCTCGAAAATCCGCAAGTTGCAGATTGGGATTCACCTCCAATCTTAGACACATACTTAGATGAAGAACAAGATCTTGTAGGAGATCCAATCTACGATGATGATCAATATTTCTTGGTTGAATTGGTATCTGGCGAGAAAAAAGATGGACTCAAAGGAGAATTGATAAGTGAAGTTATTGGTTTAGTCGCTAATTTCAAAGATGCACTCGTGGTGTGTTCTAGAGTTGAGCTTGGGGAAATTCAGCAGGGTTACATGGCTAAAGTGATGCAACTTCAACAAATTTATGTGATTAAAAATATTATCAACATACAATGACCCTTTTCTCAAAGGTTTCTTAGTTCTAATGCACAATCGTTGTGTTTTGATTGATGCAGTAATCCATAAGTCCCAGGATCATGTTTACAATATTCGAGTTGAAGAATGTTGCCGAATTAAAACCCAATTTCATCTTAGCACACTTTAAAACTTGAGAATGAGTTTTCTCCAACCAGGAGAGAATGATGGAGGGCAAACTTATTTTTATTTTTGCTCTCAAAAAGAATTATTCTTATTTTTTATTTTATTTAGTTTTAAAGGATACATATTATAATTTTTGTTTTAGGGTTTATTTCTAGAGTTCTTAGTTTTTTTTAGGGATTCTAGGGTTTTTATTTTTTTGTTTATTTCATGGGAAAAGTTTATATAAGGTTGCAACCTTCAAATGTAGAATCACATATGCACCTCAAAAATATACCGGAAAGGTTGTTTTAATGTTGAAAAACGCTCTAATTGATCATCTCGATATCAAGATGTATGAATATTTTTTAAAAAAGTTTTTGAGTCCAAAAAATAGTGCATCTTGAAACACATTATCTAGACCGTCCATTTTCATGATTTTCATATGTTTATAGATCTACTTGATTTTAACCATTTTTGGAGTTTAAAATTTTCTAATTAGATATGAAAATAGGCTTTAAGATAATCCTAGAAATGTTTTACAACAAAATTATATGTTATGATAAAATTTAGAGATGTGCCTTAATTGGATTGTTTAAGGTTGCAACCTTATAGAAACCTCACCCTTACTTCATAAGTAGTATTTATATTAACTGTTCACAGGGGTAAAACTGTCATTATGATTTTATTGGTTGAGATATATGGGTCAATGTATTATTTGTTTGGACACTTTTTGTACGTGGAGCATTAAATTATTATTACTTTTTATTGGTGAGCAAACAATACAAATGTAGTTAGAAAAGGAAATTCCTGTAGATTGTCAAGAAATGATGTCTTCATACTTCTTTTAGGATATTAATATAGATTTAGCTCATTTAAGTTTTAAGGATAGACACATGTTTCATTTAGTTTCCCTCTAATTCAAGGTTTAAAAAAACACTAGGCAGTCGGCCTTGCACGGCGCCCAAAACCTCAGGCGTCCTGTAGTACAAATTGTTTATATATATATATATATATATATATATGCTATTCAAATGCACATTTATTCATAAATTTGTGTCAAATTTGTAATTTATTGCATTTGAAAATATTATAACATACTTTTCTATATACAAACATATGACATATACTTTTCTATATATAAACATATGACATATACTTTTCTATATACAAACATATGACAGATCGCATGTTGAGAATAAACTTGTTCGGAATTTCAAAATTCAAATCATACAAATTTTTTTAAAATTTAAAAGTCTAATACGCTATGTATTAGTGATAGTCTCCAACTCTCCATATTCTATAATAAAAGAAAAGTTTAGAAAGCTTCTTCGAACCACAAAAAATACTTTTGATTCTCAAAAATAGGTATAGCTAAGAGATTGAGGGCTTATGCAAATGTTCTTTTAACTTTGGAGGTTGAAAATAACTCTCATAACCTATTTAATCAATTTTGGGGGTTAAAATTACCCCCTTTTCCCTTTCGGGCATCTTTAAAAATCGAAAAAGGCCCACATCCACCCACCCAGAACTGGGCGATGGGTGCCCGCCTGGGCACCTGCCCAAAATGGGGCACCCAGGTCTAGGCGTGCGGTTAGAGGTGTCTTTGGCGCCTAGGCATCGGGAGGACCGTTTTTTAAGATCTTGCTCTAATTAGAATTGATTACTAGCTTTTATGACTTTGTTAGCTAGAATTTGATGTCTTTAAAGAGATACGCCATGTGATTTCTTGATCAAGCCTTAAGTAGACCATAGAGCGATGGCCTTTGCAACCTGCATGTTGGTTACTGTTAATAGTCTCCTGAAGGAGTTTGGACTTAACATTCAGGATTTGTTTTCGAGCATGTTGATGTCATAAATGTCAACACCAATTGTCTGATTCATGAATTAAGAAAAAATCATATCAAGGTAGACTCTAATTGAAGCAGTTATAAGGAATCCTTCTATTTCAAATTTTCCAGTCGGTTCACTTGATCTGGAAGCCGCATCCTCACTTTCAACAAGCTACCTAAGAATATTTGATATTTTTTTTGCAGCTACTTTGGAGTGTTATTGCATCAAGCCTTTCTAATAGAAGCATCCTGATATTTTAAAGGGTGCTACATTGCTACATTCATCTATTTGTGGTTTTATTATTAGTTTCCTAGGTTATATGATGGTCCATTCAAGGAAATGCCATTCTGGGTAGTGATTGATGGAATGCTAAGTCCACATAACAATTTGTGAAAATAGGTCAGATCTGTTCTTCACTGGATTCTAATATGGCGCACACTGCATAATAAGGCTGCAAGAAGCACACAAATCATGAAGTGGTTGAACATCCAGAAACTGATGACTTTGTGGTATTCTGTCCTCCCCAATTAAAATTTGCCACTCATTCTAGTTTGAGTGGTGATCCAAATATGGTCTTAGTCTATATGGTTGTTTAGTAGGTTTATGTAAGTTAATAAGCCTTGCAGGGGAATTATCTGAAAATCTTTCCTCACGATTATTGTAAGGAGCCCTGAATTTAATTTTGCAAAATTTCTTCTTTTTATTAAGGAAAAATGTACTAAGAGACCATTGACTTTTTGCACAAGGAGGCACAATCACTCTTGTCCTTCAGATTTCAAATTGGATGGTTGAGTGTGTCATTGACTAGACTCAAAGCTCAATGACTAGACTCAAAGCTAAAAAAAAAAAAATCTCAAACTTTGTGACACACCCCAAGCCATCCAATTTGGCATCTTTTTGCTGGGAGTAATTGTGAACTTGTAAGAAAGATAAATGGTCTCATAGTATACAATCCCGTTTTTTAATCTTCTAACAGATGATGTACTGCATTTGGCAATTTTATAACATCTTATTCAACTCGTAATATGCTTTTCTGTTTGTTTATTACAGACAAAAGCTGTTCTTGACATGGCAACCAATGTGAATCGCATAATCTTGCTTTCGGGAACTCCTTCATTGTCAAGGTTATTTTGATTATTGAAGCTGCAATAGGTTTTATTACGTCTCCCTTGTAATTTTCATTACATAATAAACTATATTAATGGAATATTTCATTTTCTGAGGCAAACATTATATATTGAAATATTAGTGAAAAAGATAACCTTGACATCATCTCATTATCTCCTGTTGTGATAGTTGTTCCTTTGTGATTTCAGGCCTTATGATATCTTTCATCAGATAAATATCCTATGGTTAGTATGCTTCACTTCTGACATTTATTTTCTATACTTGTTCCTCTCTGAATTTCTTTCTCAATATTGATTATCTGCTTGTCGACCATAGGCCAGGGTTGCTAGGCAAAGACAAATATGAGTTTGCGAAAATCTATTGCTCCATGAAGATAATCCAAGGGATCCAAGGGAATTCTTATAAGGTGCTCCCCTCAGGCTCATTCAACAGTGAAATATGCACGATTGATTTACACAGTTTATCAATGTTTGTAACTAATGAGTAAATGTACGAATTGGTTACAAGCAACTTTTTGAAATCATATTGTTATTTTTTGCCTGAAATGTTCTTACTCGTCTTGGCAAGGAACTATTTCAATCGAACTTTACCTGCTTATTGCGTGAGTTATAAATCACCATGAGACTTAGTCGATGTGCTTTACTATATTGTATGATATGTGGTTATAATTGTGCATTTTTTATGAATGGTATGTCATTTTAGGTCTAGTGGATTGGCTAGAGATTCCAGTTATATTGTGTTTATTCCATTTGCACTATTTATGTGGACGAATAATTTTGAGGCATATATTCGTGGGAACAATGCTTGTATAGATGCGTGCCTTATATACACATCACTGGATGCAGCATATTGAATGCATGTATCTATGCACATAAATATATTTATGGTTGCATGTGCGTGTTTTTGTTTGTTCTCAGATGCTACGTTATGTTTGATATTTATCTTGGTGGTAATCTGTAGAATGATTAAGTTCTTCCTAGTTCTTATGGGCCTTTTACTGATACCATTCTAATGCTATTGTTGGGAGAATTAAGGGCCTTTAATTGGCTTTCTTATGAAAGTACTGAAATTGCCACATAAGTTTGCCGTCTTCTGATTAGAAAAAGTTTTAAGTTTTAATGTGTATTGCTGCTCATTTTCAGGATTTTTCAAAGGGTGTTCGCTTGCAGGAGCTTAATGTGCTACTCAAGGAAACAGTTATGGTCTGTTCTGCTTTTGCTTGCTATTAATATTTCATATGCTATTTTTCTTTTCTAGATATTTAGAGTACACATCCTATATTCTTGTTTCACCATATAGCGTGGTGATATCTTCTTAGTCTTGTAAGATTTATTCATTGGTTTATGCCTATCAATTGGGTCCACAAATCTCTGTGCTAGTAGTACTTCCAAAAGTGACTGTTACCTAAATTTTATTGTAGTCTTCCAGAACACAACAAATCGACTGGGCATAGCTGCTAATATGTATAAGTGTACACTGCCAAATATCGCAGTGTTATGGTGTGGAAAAGATGTCCATTTGCTTAAATGGGAACTAAAATAAGATTTTTGAGAAAATATCTGCATTGAGAATGATGCAAAGCATGGGATACATGGGGAATAATATCAAAGATCTGAAGCAAAATGTCTGAAGCAAAATGTAAACTGTATGTAACTACTCTTTCTATAACTTTTTCAATGTGATGAGAACAAACACCTTATGACACAGTGATTAAAATTGGAAAATTGTATGGATTTGTTTGCGTATTGGTTTTTCCTTGGGATAGTATTCGATGCATCACAATACTTAACAAAGACAAAGGGAATGAACTTTGATTGTATTTGGCGCATTGCATTTGGATATGAGTTACACATGTTCTTCGACTGCCTCTTTAAATGGCAGATAAGGCGGATGAAGGAGCAAGTGATGGTACAACTACCACCTAAACGCCGCCAGATCATTAGATTAAAGTTGAAACAATCGGATATTAATGCTGCAATGGAAGCTGTAAGGGGCGGCACAGGGTTGTGCATGGATAATGAATGCAATTGTAGATCTATGTTGCACTCTTCCCCTTGCCATAATGGTCCTAATGGTGCTCCTTCAGATAATTGCTTTGAATCAAAAGGTAATCTTTTTTGGGAAATTGTACCCCACTGAGTACACTCTAATGGACTATGGAGAAACCATCATTCATTTTGTCATCACCATCCCTCGAACTGATGGAGGCATAGGTGAGAGTGGGATCCACCAGAATAAGACTTGACTCTAAATGGTGGGTCCCACTCTTTCCCCATCACTCCATTTCAATTGATAATGGTGAACCGATGTATTACATAGTCCATTGGTTTGTAGCATAACTTGTTTCTGTTGTTAGATTATAGTATACATTTTTATCTTTTTTACTGCCAATCATATACAAATTAGATTGCATTTCATGTTCATCTTCCAAGAACTGTTCATGCAAATTTCATGAGCATCCTGTGATGAGTTTTTAATCTCAAATGCCTTGCGCATAGTGAGATTTCACCTGATGACCCTAAGGGATGGAACTCTTTGTGCCAAAACTTCTGGGTTGAGTGTTTGAATCCTTAAGCATTTATGTGACATGAAGCAGCAGTAAGGAAACTTGGCATTCAGATCTTTTTATGTGTTAATTTGACAATGTCTCAATCAAGTTATGAAATTTATGCCTGTAGAGATATGTTGCATCTGGCCAGGGAAGTCCTTTCTGTGTACTTAAATTTCTTTTCTTTTTTAATATGTTTTTAGTATATTTTGATTTGGTAATCGTTATATATTTCTGCTTTCTTCATTCCATTGGATTCCAGATATTAGGACTCAGCACAGTACTTCGAGAGAGATGTCATATCAAGAGATAGGCATTGCAAAGCTATCTGGATTTTGTGAGTGGCTTTCGAACCATCCAGTTTTCATGGAAGCTGAGGATGTACAAATTTCTGACAAGGGACCATGCTTCCAGAAAATGATCATTTTTGGGCATCATTTGAAGGTTCTTGATGGAATACAGGTCTTGTTCTATTCGATACATGTCAATGGTAGTGGAATAATAACTAGATGCTCTGAAGTTAATCAAATGTCATAAATCCGTTAGGGTGATCTCAGCTGTAATTTTATTTGTATGGGGAAAGGCCAGTTTTTGTAGCCTAATTAGTTATTGTAGTTTTATCCTGGGAATAATTAGTGATGACTTCCCGCTGAGTTAATGGGATTATGTGATGTAAAATATTTCATAATGGGTTTCAAGGTTATAGATAGCTGAAGGCTGACCATTATGTGTTTTGTTAGAGAAGTAATTTTTGAAGAATTTTCTAGGAAGTAATTGATTTACAAATTTTTTCCTTCTTTAGGATGTCACTTGTCGGAGGGGAGTTGATTTTGTCCGTATTGATGGGAGCACACTTCCTAGAGCTAGGCAGATGGCAGTGGAAGCTTTTCGTTCAAGGGCTGAGGTCTCTTGTGCTTTTTAATTAGCATAACTTCTTTTGTGCTATAGTAATGGCAAATATTTGGCTATTATGATGCAATGTGGGTAGTCTGGTCATGTTACTTTGAGAGACCATTTAGTGCATTGCCTTTTACTATAGGTGAAGATCGCAATAATTGGTATCACGGCTGGTGGAGTTGGACTGGACTTTTCCTCTGCTCAAAATGTGGTCTTTGTGGAGCTTCCAAAATCTGTTTCAGAATTGCTTCAGGTGTTTTTATATAAGAATTTTAATTTGATTAATTAGGCGAATATTTTATAATGGCCATTATTTCAACAGTTTTGGCTTTTAATCTCCATACAAATTTTCCATATGATTTTTGTAGCCATATAATTTGTTTGTATATCATTTAAGGCTGAGGATAGGGCTCATAGGAGAGGACAATCAAATGCTGTCAATATTTATATCTTTTGTGCAAAGGTTAGATATCTTTACTACATGTTTTCTTAATAAAAGATTTGCATCAATTGTTCATGGAGCTTCTCCTATGGAACTCGTGGAGTTTTTGTCTAAAACAGAGAGCATTCTTCTCTCAGGGTACCTCGGATGAAGCACAATTGCAACGTTTAAACAAAAGTTTATACCGTGTTTCAACTATGATGAATGGAAGAGATGATGCTATACAGGAGATAAAGGTGCATATGGGTCTCCCTGTTTTCTATGATATTTTCCTTTTCACAGATACTATTTTCTTAATTCAAATGATATGTTGGCTGAAAAGTTTCTTTAGAGTTAGCAATTTGATATTACATATAGTGGAACTCTGAAAACATTAACTGTGAGTTGTCTGGCAGTCCTCATTATATGGAGTGTTGGGGTGACTTGTCCCGCCCTTAAGTTTCAGTAGCCCAGAGAGATTTAATTTTTGGGGGTAAAACCTAAATAGATGAGTTGTGGCTAATGTTATAGATTCATGATCATTACTTTTCTAATTTTTATTCGAAGTTGTTAAATCTTGTTTTAAAGTGTCTTTTGCTCTCCGAAGCTGATATTTTCTGGTAAAAAACAGTAGATATGCTGGTCGATGACTTGTTTCGTGAATGGTATCTGATATTAAGGTCTAATTCATTGCTGATGCTATGCTTCATATGCTTATTATCTTTTTGCCTACTTACTGGCAGGTTGACACAGTCCAAAGTCTAGATTTTCTGGATGATTTTGGGGCCTCCAATGAGAATGCCTTTACCAAAGAAAACATGAAAGTAAATTATTTAAATCAGGATTCGGTCAGTAGGTTCGTTAAGTGCAGTGCCGAAGATGAAAGCATGCCCAAGGCCAAGGGTGATGCTACTTCTTTCTCCAAATTCGAGCCAACAAATTCTCAATTATCTCCAGCAAATGAGAAAATGCAGACTGAGGAAGCACCCAGTGAAGCATCTATAATCGGTAAAAGTGGAGTTGGACAACAGATTGAAGCTGATGGATTTGGCTCCATTTCTCCAAACTCACTTCGGTTTGAGGTAGAGTTGAACTTCATATTTCAATTAATTTTAATGATATTTGAACTTGTTAAACTCCATATTTCTTATTTTGGGGTGGCACTTTAGGGCAAGGCTCTATGTCTTCTCATTTTCTCTATTTCCATATTAGATGGATGGAGCAAGGGTCTTACAGTTACCAGTGTTGTAATGCTACTTAATGATTTACTTAAGGATGAATCCTTACATATCGTCTTTTTCAAAAAGGACAGTGGTTATCCTTGTATATGATTATCCTTGTATATGAATGCTACTGAATTTCAATCTAAATTTCTATTTCAGTGGTTAGGAACCTTGTTTTTGTTCATCAATGTACTTTAGTTTGAATCTAATAACCAAACATTTATTGTAGTTCAATGAAATAATTTGTTAAAGAGAATGACGGTTCTTATGGAACAGAAAATGTTTTACTTATTTCTTTGTACTTAAGGGGTTTTTATACTTAACAATATTAATCTACTCTCGTTTATAGAAACAATATTAATCTACTCTCGTTCTGTAGTAATTATGTTATGAACTGCTTAAATGCTGCTTATTTTGTTGTCATTGTCTTCTTTTAAGTAGGATTTTGTTCTCCATCATCTGTTCTCCTTCATATCTGTTTTCTGATAGGTAAGTCGACATACCGGAAGGGTGCACTTACACATATGCATTCCAGGTGAGGATTCACGACCAAGGCTTCTTTCTGAAAACTTTAGGCCAGAGGATCTGGAGTCACACAGTTTATGTACTAGTACTATGAACAAGGAAGCCATGCCAATACAGGAGAATCCGATATATAGGGATGTTTTGCTTGCTTTCCTAAAGGAATGGAACAATCTAAGACCTGTTGAGCGGAGTAAATTGCTGGGAAAACCCCTGCAGCTGCCTTTGGATCTTGAGCTCTACTATTTGAAGGAAGAGCGCAACCATGGATCTGGAGTAAGTTTTCGTCATTCTTTCTTGATGAAGACTTGTATCATTAATCAGATAAATTCACATCTAAGCCAAGCGATGAGAACACAAGTTAGGGTTGCAGAGCTGTTGAGAAGAGCACCGATTGAGAAGTAGAGATGGGGAATGGTTTGTGATATATCAGTGATACTTTGAAATTAATATTTATTTATTTATTTTACTTTTTTAAATGGACAATTGTGGGGCATGTATACCATTAATTAAGCCAAAATATTTGACATCCCGATGGAACATTTCCTCCATTTGCTTCCTCGGGTAATAGCCCAGTGTAGGAGTAATGTTAGGACCTGAAATTTGGGTAATGTAACCTCTTGAACTAGCAGTCAACCTCCCAAAAAAAAAAAACCAAAATTGAAACTGCCTTGTTCTTGGACAAATAACATTCTGAGATTGAATAGGGACTCCGACTTTGGACATTCTGATGTAAGTGTTTAAGAATCTCGAAATCCATCTTTTTTTTCTTTTTGTTTTTTTCTTTAAAACTAATGGTCTAGAGATTATTAAATTGATTCCAAAATTTCAGATAAAAAGAAATTCCTTCTTAAGTGGCTTTTATTTCCCAGCGGGATAATGATATGAAATAAATGAAAATATCGTCTTGGTTCAGGCTAGCTCCAGATGGAAAGGACTTCCTCAAGCTCTTGTAACGAGTTTGATTCCCACTCATTCATTTAACTTACCAAGAGAAAAAAGTGCAAATGGATATCTTTAAACTCTGCGTTTAATATTCTACAATATCTACTTCTATAGTTTTGTTTTAGCTCATGTTGTACCCTCTGAATTCGAGTAATGTTTGTTGGTGTCATGGCTAATAAACATTTATTGTAACAGGGACTGTTGAAAGGCAAAAGTAGAAGGCGTTTTACTCCTCTAAATGAGCTAAGTTGTGCTCTGCCTGAGAATGCAATGTGGAAAAAGATCACCCTTAGTAGCGGCCATCCCAATAAGGAGAAAGAATACATGCAGGCCTGGACCATAGCGGATGAGCCACTTTGTAAACTCTGTCAAAAACTTTGCACGTAAGTACGCATGCATAACACAATTCTCTATTTAATTTGGGTGATTGAAAGTTCAGAATGAGGGATCCTGGGTTCTCCTCGGACAAAATTAGTAACCTGGCAATTGAGCCAAAGGTTAGGAAATAAAACAGTTGTATCCACAGTTGTTGGGAGCGGGAGCGCGAGTGGGGGCTGGAGTGGGAGTGGATGTCTAGGATTGACATAAAGTTGAGGCTCCATCCCATAGGAGCTTCTGGGAGAGAATGTGTGTGTGTGTGTGTTAAAGTTATTTAATTAATTGAGAAATGTATAATCTACTTTTTAGCATTATCTGCACATGCATAATGAGAATTCTACAACCTAAAAGTCGCATCAAAAATAGAGAAAAATGAGATTGGAGGGCCATGATAATGGTTGAATTTAGGAATAGCCTAGAGTCCCTAAACAGATGAGACAAGGAAAGTTGAGCATGCAAATATAAATTATAGTGAATTATACACTTTAATGGGAGTGTGTGCGTTAGTTGACTGACCTAAGGTTTGGGCAGTTTATGGCTATGATCATTTCCAAAATCCTTAACCCTTGGCATGTGGCGCTACCAAAAATGTTTTTCAGTAGGTCATTCCTTATTGAGGTTTAGAGAGATACCTAGGGATGGTTAGTAACTTAGTGGTCTTTGGTGTGCGGATGTAGGCTTGTGAGAACGAGATCTAAATCCTCAACAAACTTTCACACGACATGTACACATGACAACAATATTGTAGAAAGCAACCCTAAAAAGGAATAGGTGTACATGTGCTTAGAGGGAGCCCCCCTTGTACTATAGTGATATGTGCATCTGACTTGCTCTTCAGAGGGGAGGGGGGGGGGGGGGGAAGGATTGTAATCCACATTCCAAGACTATGGTTCAATAATTTCTTGGCGAATTTTGAAGAGCTAATCATGAGCCCCTGCATGAGATTGTGGGTCATGGGTCACGTTGGGTTGTTTTGAAAAGATAGTTGAGGGTCATGGTTATTGGATCAGGTGGACTGCCTTGATAGTCACTTATCTTGATCCATTGGTAGTAGTCCACTTCTAGATATTTTTTGTTTCAGTTTAATAATTTTTCTGTGAATTTTACAATTTTTTCAGAATTTTTACAATTGGATCCAGCTCCACATGTGTGCCACTCCACATAGGTGGGGTGTAGAGCCCATGGGGGCCCACACCGTACACAAGGTGGGACGCCCCCCTCGTGCATATATATATATATATATATATATGTATTGTGTGTGTGTGTATGTGGAAAAGTATACAATGAGAACATTGACCTTTGATACAAGGTGGTGACAATTAATATTGACCATTAAATGTAGCAAACCAATTTCATACGTAATTGTATCAAGGGTGAATTGGTCTTCATTGTATACCATCTTTATATATAAAATAACAATATCTTTTATCTTTTTGATTTCCTACAATCTTGAGAGTTCTAGAAGATTAGCTATAGCTTAGTTTTATCATAGTTTGACTAGAAGTGGATATAGGTCAAAGATTCATGGGATAAGGATCCTACAGTTCCTCCCTAAATAATGTTGGCTGATTCATTGGATAGATGGCTCAAAGTTAAGTCTATCTCACCTAACTGATTTTCTAAAGTCCTATTAGTCATGATGAGTCGCAATTTTAATAAGCATACTTAAGGTCTTTGAGTCCTAAATAAGGAGGGAACCTTCCCTCATTCTCTACACAATTTTCCTTAGCATCTTTATATCTTCATTCTCTCCTCCATGCCACACATACTCTGACTCCTCTCTTTTCTCTCTCTCTCTCTCTAGAGTGGGTCACATGCACCACCCTAGAAACCCGAAGGGGGTGATGCACACTGCACACCACCTAGTGCTTGAAAAGGGAGGAATGCCCAGTCCTAAGAAAAAGGGAGGTGCCTTGTGGCATATTCCCTAAGAGTTCTAGAGGGTTACATAAATCTAACCTATGCTCACCTAGATTTGTGAGGTATTGCCTAAGGAAGCTTTCTGGCACAGAAAATTCAGCGAGGCCAATAGGATCAAAGTGCTCCATCAGTTAGGAAATCGAGTGTAGGGTGTATTAAGTCGTATGGTGGTGAACCTAGGCAAATTTGAGTAACTCAGCTGTTTGGTTTTGTTTTCAGCCATTATTCACTTATTTATTTTCATTTCCAGGAAAAATATTTGTATTAAAATTGTTAATAGAAGCTTGTTTTTCATTCCTGGATTGTGTCTATTTTATTTGGTAGTAATAACAAAGATCCTAGATTGTATTTAGGGTTTTATTTCTTATTATAACAATGTATTGTGGCACTTGTAAGTGGAATTTAGATCCATTAATAAAAGAAAAGGAGAAAATAATTTATTTGACTCCTTCGAATTCCATAGTTACTTCTTTCGGTGAGAACCATTTGTTCTAGAAAACCTTGGCATTTCTTCCTCTTCAGGGCTATCCGGGACTGGGGACCCCCCTAGGTCTAACCCGACTCAGGTGACTCGAAGTCTGTTTGCCACTTAGGTAACCACATACATCGAAAACGGAAAGCAAAATTGTATATAGGTGGTTGTTAGCTAGAAAATTGACAAAAAGCCAAAAAAAAAAGAAAGTGCAAAATCAAAGCTATCAGGTTCAATTTTCAAAATATTTGAAACTTCCTCTAGAATTGAGATCCCTCCAAATCATGATCATGGCCTATTTTTAGTGGGGTCATGATCCCCTTCCAAGGGAATCAAGATTCCTTCTAATTTGTGATTGAGAACTTTATGAGATGGGCTTGGGCTCCCTTGATGAGAGGAGCGAGCTCCAGTCTGTCGACGGCTCCAGGATCATCGGAGCGAGATCCCAAGGGGGAATCTCCAGCCCCACTGGGCTGCTTGCATCTATGGTTGTATCTTTGTTTTTATTGGAATTAAGCAGTTGTATCTGAACTTTACTGATCACTGAATATGTTTTTGGTGCAGTGGCCACCTCTCAAAGGAACCAGAGTTTTTTGAGGATCTCTTTTGTAATTTATGCTGCTATGAGGAATACAGGATAAGAACTAGCCAACAAGCACTAAGAGAGGTGAGGATCATTAAACTTGACCTGCTATTCCACTATTTGCTGGCTCATTACATAATATCACTTATATGTGCTTGAAATGAAACAACATGAGAACATTTGTTTTAGTGCTCTTCATTCTTGCAGACAAAAAGATGGGGTAAAGGGCAAAGGAGAGTGGGGGGATGCAGTTGTTTTATGCAGTTGTTTTGCTAAGATTCCATGGGAAATTTGATAGACCATACTTAATTTTCATTTATGCCTTTCCCTTTGATGCTATATACTGGTTTTCACGGACTTTTGCTTGTAATTCAGGCACTTTTCCAGATTGAGCAGGGTGTTTGTACTAACTGCAAGTTAGATTGCCATAAGCTTGTTAAATGTATAAAGCCCTTATCTGTTAATACTCGAAGAGACTATGTTCAAAAGGCTGCTCCCAATGTTGCCAAGCATAAGAGCTTGTAAGTTTCTGTCCTTTACTCTGGTACTTTGGCTTTCTTTTTTTTCAGTTGCTTAAATAAGAAATTTAATCTTTTGTCTCTTAATGGGAGGTTCATGTCATTCATAGCACGCACCCTTGAATGTGTCAGGATTTCCGTCCGTGTCCGTGCGCATGCACAAGTGTGTATGTAGTCTGGACAGAAGCGCTACAGTAGCTTTGGTCTGGCTCCCAACTGTCCAAATGAATTTTGATTGTTGCGGTTGTCCAAAACTATATGAATTTTATTTATTTCAAAAAAACGGACTGAGCTGAAATTTTAAGGGTGTGTGCACTTCAACTTCACAAACCTAAAAAAAAAGAAGTAATTCTCGAAAAATAAAATCACCAAAGCGTCCGTGTATTTTTCAGGACATTTTGGTTATTTTATTTTTAAGAATTATTTTTGCTATTTTTCTTAGGTTTGTGATGGTGCACACCTCAAAATTTAAGCTCAAATCCGATCTATGCAAGAAAAAGATAAAATTCGTGTACTATAGCACTATTGCTTTGATGGAGATTGGACAGTTGGGAGCTAGACCAAAGTTACTATGGCACTATGGCTCCAAACTTGTATTGAAGCCTTTTCCATATATATATATATATATATATATATATAGTGGTAGGACGAGAGACACAGGAGGAGAG